AATAATATATAGGGTTAGTAGGTCGAATGATCAAAAGATAGTTGGATTGATTGATTAAGCTATTATGCAAATTAATTAAAGCAAGCAAAAGGTAACAATTTAGAAAGAAGAGAAAAGATATAGAGGAGAGGACTTGGGGTACTAGAGCTCACCACTAAGCTTGACTTCACTAGACACTAGCAATTGTATATCAATGGGAAAATTAAATTGTAACTTGTATGTGTGTGTGTGACATTAATTGAAACTATGCATGGATGACAAATAAGTATAGATTGTCAAACCAATTTAAGTGAAAAGCACAACCTATCAAATGAGACCAAAATCTATTCAATGAAACCACAATTTATGCACACACTACCATCTAGAAACATACACCACTTGAATTCAATAGCATGGAATACCAAGAAATAAGAATAGATTGTCCACCAATCTATGAATCTAAAGCAACTACACTACTTCTACACTAAAGACATGAAAATTAAACTAAGTAAGCTAAAAGTGTGGCACAATTTATCAAGAAACAAGTGTAAACCATCAAATAAATTACAAGTGTGTTCAATTAAGTACTATGTTTTGACCATCTCTAGATTAACTCCATCCATACACATTGACATGCATAAATTCCACTAGATATAGAGAAAAGCACATGAATCATCCATTCTAGCATACATAGACGTATGGGTAGAAATAGATAATCAATTGAAAGTATTAATCCATACACATTAAGTAGAAACCACAAGATATATATAAATCCAAGATCAAAACATTTGTTACAATAAATCTCCAAAAATATACAAAGCACTAGGTCTAGGAAGCAAACTTAGGGGTTACTCTAGCCCCAAGTAGATGTCTAGCCACTCATTGAAGTAGTCATCCAACCATCAAGGGCTATCTCCATGGTAGGCATGACCTCCTTCTTGATGGAAACCCTAGAAGAATGGAAGAACTCCCAAAAGGTGTAAAGCTCTCTCTAGTCTCTAGGCCCTTTTCCAAGATATGAGATGTGTTGATGATATGTTGTTATACTCTTAAAATGGCTCCAAATCCTTATATAGGTAGCTCAAGTGTCACACACAATGGTCTAGGCTCGTACACCAAGGTCCCTCCAATGATTGCACAATGAGCCAACTTTTAATGAGCTGGAATTTGTTTTATTTCAGACTTGAGGAGGTTCGATCGATCGAACTTTGGTAAGATCCATCGAATACTGCAAAGATCGATCATCCATGGCGGCGCCTTTTTGATTAAAGATAAATCTCTGAGATATTTTGGAAAAGAGACAAAAGTGGTAGGTGGGGTGGTAGGTGTGGATAAGATTGGATAATATCGAATAATTTCGATTGATCGAAGAAATGTTGGATCGATTGAACTTGTTGTATTCTTTTGGATAAAGACAAAAGCTTGGATCCATCTTGAAATGTCTAGATCGATGAATTCCAGATCGATCGAAGTAATGTTGAGATCGATCGAACATGCTGAATTTCCACACTTTGCTTCCACTTTGCTCCTTTCTTCCATTCAGCTCAAGATTGCTTCATTAATGCTCTAATTTGGCTGAATTAACTTATTTTTGGAATAAGCACTTGAAAGAGACAATAACATGAAATTAGAATAAAACGGGAAAATAAGATAGATAAAGGTCCTAGAATGCTCAAGCTTAAGGGGTTTAAATGCCCACTTTTCAGCGCTTATCACACCCCCAAACTTAAATATTGCTAGTCTCTAGTAATGAACTACGAATTAAAGGAATAAAATGAACAACTGAACATCTTGGAAGACTTAGATCGATCTGAAATGAAGTTCGCTCAATATACAGAGAGCTGAAATATGCAGGAAATTCTCGATGGAACTGAGAGATGATTGGATGCAGAGATGGGTGTTGAATCGATCGAACCTATTCCGAGATCGATCGAACAGGAACAATTAAGGAAAAATTCGAAGATCTCATTGAAAACATTAAGTGCATCACTAAATCTCTTCATAGATTGGATCAACCAAAAGTGCAGCTTCCATATGCCTTTGAAAAACTTGTCCCTTAATGTAGGGTTTCAAACTTTGCCCATTCACCTTGAATGTGTTACCATTCTTTAAATTTTGAATTTCAACTGCCCCATGCGGCGTAACAGAGATGATCATATATGGACCTTCCCATTTGGTTCGCAACTTTCCGGGGAAAAGTTTTAACCTAGAGTTGAAAAGCCAAGCTTTTTGACTAGGCTCAAATGATTTCTTCACAATGTGTTTATCATGAAAAGCTTTAGTTCTCTCTTTGTAGAGTTTGGCATTGTCATAGGCATTATGTCTCAACTCTTCCAACTCATTCAATTGGAGTAAACTATTCTCTCCGGCTTTGTCAAGGTCAAAATTGAGCTTCTTAACCGCCCATATAGCTTTGTGTTCTAGCTCAACCGGAAGATGGCAAGGTTTTCCATAAACAAGTCTATATGGAGACACGCCAATGGGAGTCTTGTATGCCGTTCGGTAAGCCCACAAAGTATCATTCAATTTGTGCAACCAATTCTTCTGGGTTGTGTTAACCGTTTTCTCAACAATATGCTTAATTTCCCGGTTTGACACTTCTACTTGCCCACTTGTTTGAGGATGATAAGGAGTGGCGACTTTATGAGTAACGGAGTACTTAAGAAATAATTTCCTTAAGAATTGATTGCAAAAATACTTTCCTCCATCACTAATCATTGCTCTTGACATACCAAAACGAGTAAAGATGTTTGATTTGATGAATTGAATAACAATGGAGTGGTCATTGATTTTGGTAGCATAAGCCTCCACCCACTTAGAAACATAGTCAATGGCAAACAAAATGTATTGATATCCAAAAGATATAAGAAAAGGACCCATAAAATTAATGCCCCAAATGCCAAAGATTTCAACAACGAGAATATTTGTCAAGGGCCTCATATCTCTTCTTGACATTGAACCCATATTTTGACATCGCTCACACTCCTTACAAAAATTGTAGGCATCTCTATGGATGGTGGGCCAAAATAGCCCACTTTAAAGCACCTTTAAGGCGGTCTTCTTCGCACTAAAATGCCCACCGCATGCAAGGGTATGGCAAAATAAAAGGACGCTTGGAATTTCACTCTCTGGAATACATCTTCTCACAATTTGATCTGGAAAATATCGAAACAAGATAGGGTCTTCCCAAGAATAGTTCCAGATGTTGGCAAAGAAACGTTTCTTTGCTTGCTTTGACCAATTAGTTGGGAGCTTGCCAATTGCAAGAAAATTCACAATATCAGCAAACCATCGCATTTGCCCATTAGAGACTTGGAACAATTGTTCATCTGGAAATGAATCATGAATTGGTGGGCTTGGTGAAGATTCTACTACCAACCTTGAGAGATGACCGACAACCATATTTTTGGTGCCTTTCTTATCTTTGATTTCAAAATCAAATTCTTGAAGAAGTAAGATCCATCTTATCAAACGAGGCTTTGTTTCTTTCTTGGTCAAAAGATACCTCAAAGCAGCATGATCAGAATAGACAATGACTTTTGACCCTAAGAGGTAGGATTGAAATTTATCAAGAGCATATACTACAATAAGTAATTCCTTCTCGGTGGTGGAGTAATTCAATTGAGCTCCCGAGAGGGTCTTGCTTGCATAGTATATGGCGTATGGAATTTTTCCTACCCTTTGCCCCAAAACCGCTCCCGTGGCATAATCAGAAACATCACACATTATTTCAAATGGTAATGACCAATTGGGAGGTTGCATAATAGGAGCAGATGACAACAAGTCACTCAATTTGAGAAAAGCATCTAGGCATGCTTGATAAAAGACGAATGATGTTTCCTTGGCAAGAAGATTGCACAAGGGTCTAGCAATCTTGTTAAAATCTTTGATAAAATGGTGATAAAAGCCGGCATGACCTAAAAAGGAGCGAACCTCTCTTACCTTAAAGGTGGTGGCAATTCAGAAATAAGCTCAACTTTTGCTTTATCAACCTTAATTCCCCTTTTTGAGATGACGTGACCCAAAACAATACCCTCTTGAACCATGAAATCACTCTTTTCCCAACTAAGAACAATGTTTGTTTCACGACATCTTTTAAGCACTAAATTTAGATTTTTAAGGCATGCTTCAAATAAAGACCCAAAGACAAAAAAATCATCCATAAAGACCTCAAGATACTCTTCCATCATGTCCGAGAAAATTGACATCATACACCTTTGGAATGTTGCGGGAGCATTGCACAAACCAAAAGGCATCTATCTATAAGAAAATGTGCTAAAAGGACAAGTAGATGTGGTTTTTTCTTGGTCTAAGGGGTCAAGGGCTACTTGATTATAATCCGAATAGCCATCAAGGAAGCAATAATATTGTTGCCCGGCTAATCTCTCTAGAATTTGATCAATGAATGGCAAGGGGAAGTGATCTTTTCTAGTGGCGGCATTTGATTTGCGGTAATCAATGCACACACGCCATGAATTGACGATATGCTTAGAGATTTCCTCACCTTTTGCATTTTCAACCACCGTAATCCCCGATTTCTTGGGAACTACTTGAGTTGGACTCACCCATTTGCTATCAGAGATTGGATAAATGATACCGGCATCTAAGAGCTTCACAACCTCCTTTTTAACCACTTCTTTCATGTTTGGATTTAATCTCCTTTAGGCATCTCTAAAAGCTTTTGCATCCTCTTCCATGAGTATGCGATGCATGCAAATAGAAGGATCAATCCCTTTTAGATCCGCCACACTCCATCCTATAGCTTCCTTATTTTCTTTAAGCACATTTAAAAGAGTATCCTCTTGATCTTTTTCAAGATTAGAGGAAATGATGACCGAAAGAGTTTCTTTCGGGCCTAGAAAGGCGTACTTAAGAGTGGAAGGTAGAGTTTTAGGCTCAATAGTTGGTGGAGATATTAGAGATAGAACCGGTGGAGTGCTAGAGATTGGAGGAAGAGGTTCCTTTGGAACTTTCCAAGGTGGAAAATCCAAACTTGCAACAGATTCCATTAAATCATTAACTTCACTCATTGATCCTTCATTGTCAAACCCACAATTCTCATACATTTCAAGAAGACAAGATGCAAGGGGATCATCGAAAAGAAGAGATGAAAGATTGTCCTCAGTTGGCTTCTTTATAATCATAGAAGGGATGGACTCCTCCATAACCTCATCCATGACATCTATGAGACAACACTCGTCTTCATCTATGGGATGTCAACTTGCATTAAAAACATTAAGCTTGACCATCATGTTACCAAAGGAAAGGTCCATAACCATGGATTTACAATTAATGGTAGCATTTGTGGTAACAAAAAATGGCCTTCCTAAGATGATTGGAATGTGATTAATAGGATTAGCAACCAGCTCGGTATCAAGGACCACAAAATCAACCCGGAAATAGAACTTGTCAACTTTAATGAGAATGTCCTCAACCATGCCCCTAGGAGTTTTGATGGATTTATCGGCCAATTGAAGTACCACTGAGGTTGGCTTCAATTCATTCAAACCTAGTTAAACATACACAGAGTAGGGAATCAAATTAACACTTGCTCCTAAGTCAATAAGAGTTCTACGAACTTCATGGTTTCCAATCACACATGAAATGGTCGAAGCACCGGGGTCTTTGAACTTAGGTGGAGTGTTATATTGAATGATGGAGCTCACTTGCTCCATGAGGAACACTTTTTTAGGGCCTTGTCCTTTGCTCTTCCTCTTTTGTGTGCAAAGATCCTTCAAAATTTTTGCATGAGGTGGAATTTGCCTAATTACATCCAAGAGAGGAAGTTTGATGTTGACTTGTTTAAACACCTCTATCATGTCATGGATTTTTCCTTCTTGCCTCCCAAAAGGCGAAGTCTCTTTTAAAGCATATGGAAATGGAGCTTTTAGCTCATAAGACCTTGCAACCTGAGGAAATGATGATGAAGATTGAAAATTTCTATTTGGAACATTTTCATCCAAGGAGGTATGATTAGGATTGGAAAGGACGGGTGTCAACTTTTGGGTGTACCGGTTCATTTTCCTCACTTGGTTGTTCAACCCTATTGTCAATTTGTCTACCACTTCTCAAAGTGGTAATTGCTTGCACTTGCTCTTGCGAAAAGCACCCCGATATAGGGTTTTCTTCCACATAATATTGGGTTTTTGGATTCCTTTTGGGTTGGCTAGGTAATTTGCCCATTTCTCTCGCATTCAAAGCATTGGCTATCATCCCTATTTGAGACTCAAGCTTTGATATTGATTGAGAATGAGAATACAACAAAGTAGTGTTCATTTCCAAACTATCCAAAGCCACTAAGACCTTATCCTCAAAAGTAGAATTATTAGAAAGTGCATAAAGATGATTGAAGCTACTTTGAAAAAAATGATTCATTCTTTGATGATAAGAAGGAGAGGATGAAACAAATCCTTTTGAACCCCCATTTCTTTGATGAGGAGGGATATATTGGTTTTGAAAATTTCTTCCTTGAGAAGAATTTGAATATTCACTCCACACCGGAACATAAACATTGGGAAGAGGGTGAGCAAATGCAGCATTGACTTGTTTATAGTGTTCATCAAGCACATGTTCATGGGGACAATTGGAAGTAGAATGTAAAACACTTGAACAAGTCATACATAGCTCACAAGAATGATGAAGATTATGATTAGGAAGAGGGGATGATTGAATTGCCGGTTTTTGACTCAACAAAAATTAATCAAGTTTATGAGAAAGAGTTTTAACCTCGGCTGCAATCTCCATTGATCCTTCAATTTGACACACTTTCACATTTTTCTTCTTGTTAATAAAATCATGACTCAATTTAGAAGTGTGACATTTATGCAAAGAGTTTTCACTCATTTTTCCAAAAAGGTGCCAAACATCATCTTCATGTTTCCCAAAATATGATCCTCCACATGAGGTATCAACTATTTCCTTATGAATGTCGGATAGACTTTCATAGAAATATTGAACCACTTGCCATTTGAGAATGCCATGGTGTCGGCATTTCCTTAACAAGTCATTCAATCTTTCCCAAGACTCATGCAAAAGTTCTCCTTCCCTTTGAGAAAATTTTCGAATAGAAGTTCGCATAACATTGGTTAATGTAATACCCCTAATTTTAAAAGATAGTCTGGGTATTTATTTAATTGTGTAATTGCGATTTAATTTATTTAATTGAGAATTTGGTGATTTAATTGTGAATTGGTTGTGAATTATTTAATGACTTGGTTTCATTTTGTTTTATTTAATTGTTTTGTTTTAATTGTTGTTTAATTGGATTTATTTTATTTGACTTAATTATATCTTTCGTTAAATGTGTTTTGTTAAATTAGGTTTTTAGATGTCACGTATATAGCCGACTTAGTTAAGCATTGATTAGGTTTTCTATGGGCCAACTAAGGATTAGTGTAGGGTTTGAATTAAATTAGGGTTTTATGTAAACCTGTAAACCTATAAATATATGTAATGAGCGTCTGCCTAGCGTTTTAGAACCCTATTCACGACATATTGAAAGCAAGAAATGTATAGAGAAGTCTGGGACAAAACCAAAGGATCGCCGGAAAAGCTTAGGAGAAAGACGTTGAGACTTTTGAACCAAATCTCACAGGCAAGTTCTATAACTAACGCTATCTCTTTGGCCTGTATTCTTTGCATCCATAATTCAGTCCCAAGATGAATTAAAGTTAAATTAATTTAGTTGTACGATTATTTGTTTCAAAACAGTATATCTTCCTTTATGTGAATGCTAATCGTTTGTAAATTCTTTTTGCTTGATTCTTGTTCCAATTGAATTTGATTAATGAGCAATGAATTTAATTAACTCTAGATCACCCTAGGACTTGGTTTAATCAGTCAAAACATAATTAAAAGCGTTAGAGGTTGTAACAGAGAGGAACGGAAACAATGGAGATCACCGGAGACGAAACAAGCAATCAGGAGGAGAGGGGAAAGAAGAGGCGGCTCCATGAAAACATGGAGCCGGCTCAAAGAAGGTTGGAGGCAACTCTAACATGTTTGGAGCCTGCTCCATTATGTTTGCATATCATCAACTACGGTTTCGAGAGCAGGATGTTCCGAGAACAGCGTTTCTCACTAGATATGGATCTTATGAGTTTTGGGTGATGCCGTTCGGGTTGACTAATACACCAACGGTTTTCATGGATTAAATGACTAGAGTCTTCAGGGCTTACTTGGATCAATTTGTCATTTTCTTCATGGATGACATTTTGATTTACTCGAGGTCAGAGGATGATCATGCTAGACATCTTTGGATAGTCTTGCAGACGCTTCGTGAACACCAGTTATATGCCAAGTTCGAGAAATGTGAATTTTGGCAGCAGGAGGTGAAATTTCTGGGTCACGTGGTATCAGAAAGGGGAATAGCGGTGGATCCAGCCAAGGTATATTTATTGTTACAAGCTTCAAATCAATAATTAAAAAATATATATATGAAAACAACAATTCTATAAGTTACAAAACATTCACCACGTGTATCGCACGTGCCTTTTCCTAGTATATATATATATAATGCATTTCACGATGGTAATTCATCACATTTTTTTTTTAAATGAAGAATGAAATTTGCATTCCAAGTTTGTGCACTCATATTTCAGTTTTAAATTTAAAATTCATCATTAAAAGCTAAAAGAAAGTGTATGTACCTAGATATGAAATTGTACACAACACGTTGAGCAGAACAGAACATGCCTGATTGCTACAATTAGATAAGGGTGCACAAAAGAACCGTGGAACCGAAACCGGAACCGTGAGAACCGGAACCGAAATTCCGGTTCTCACGGTTCCGGTTCCTAAAATCAGGAATCGTTCATTTACGGTTCGGTTCCAGTTCTAGTTCCACGGTTCCAGTTCCGGAACTAGAACCGTATATATATATATATTATATTTTTTTATATAAATAATTAAGTATGCCTAATTTAGTTATTATTATAATATTTTCCAAGGGCCACTGTGTGCCCACGTAGTCCATTTTAGTCATTGACTTGAACGTCATAATTTGTAAACCACAAAAACATCTCATCTTCTCATACCAAAGACTCTCATTTTGAAGCCGCGGCGCCGCCTCTTCTTCTCATCTTTAGTATCCGATTCGTGGTTTCGGCAGCATTGATACTTGATAGCCCACAAAGTCTTAGCCGATAGCCCAAAATAAACCCCTAAAATTAGAGAGAGAAATGGTTGGCCTTTTTCCTTTTTCACGGCGGTGTAAGACCTCGAATCAGCCACATAAAAGGATCTTATTCTCCAGATGCCTCTTCCCATTCTTCTTCCTTTATCTCTTGATTGAGGTGAATTAAGGTTTGGTTATGGAGTTTGGTGTTTTGGAATGTGTTGGTGGGCATTTGTCAGTTTGGGCAGCTTTGTGGGGACTTCTAAACTGGGTTCAAGTGTTTTAGATTTTATTATATATGCTCTAATCTCTATAGTTAGCTATTAAGAGATTGTGAGGATTGGGGAGTTTATATTTCATTTAATCTTCAGCTTCTGTGTTTAAAGTCAGTGATTGTTAATTTGTTATTATGATTGCTTTGGTTCTTGATTCAAACTGCCTCACCTCCTATAGTATTTCAGTATCAGACATTCAGTTGATTACTTGATTCAGTACATGGGATGTTATATAGATGGGGAACCCGAACCGAACCACGGTTCGGTTCCGCTTCGGTTCCATACTCTCACGGTTCGGTTCCGGTTCCATTTTTCAGGAACCGTTGGGACCAGGACCGGTTTCGGTTTCGATTTCGGTTTCGGTTCCACCAGGAACCGTACAGAACCGAACCGTGTGCACCCCTACAATTAGCACCATAGCCCACTCGATTAAAAGTGGGCCCATGATTGGAGTGCACCCATAAGCCCAGACCCAAGAATTCCGTACACAATATGATTGCATGTGATAATGAGTTCTAATATAGAGCCCAAAAGTCTATCACTTTAGAAAAAAAAAAGAAAAAAAAAGAGGTAAAGTACACTAACATCCCCTGAGGTTTGCTAAAAGGATATACAGATGAAACTTAGCCTATTTTGGGACAATAACATCCTCTCTCTGAAATTCCAACTAACCAAGGCCTTAAATCTTCTGAAAAGACGAAATTACCCCTTAATATTAAAATCAAATTTATTATAAAATATCAGATATAGTAAAAAGATTCAATTACCCTCACAGCCACAAATTGAA